AGCTAATTATGAAAAAAACAGCTATAATTTTGTTATGCTAAAATCAATGACTTAACCGAAAAATCATTTGACCAGGTGTTCCTAGATTTTGGATTGAAATAAAGCAATTATATAGTAAAATTGCTCGGGGAACCCCTTTTTTTAATGCACAAATGGTGATCTCTCCTGCAAAATTTTGAAAACTAACAATTTTTTAAAACAAACGAATTTTCTTGATTGTTACGTTGCATCAATCTTGGTAGCTCGACGAATATCACGTGATCACCACATTGAAGAAAGGCAGAAAACCGTTAGTAAAGTGATGAAAAAAAACCAAAAGACTAAAAAAGCTGAAGAGGAACTCTAAACCTACCGACCTACGACAAGGAAATTCAATGTTCTTTATGAACCCGGAACTGACCCATTACGCCATTTCTAGGCCTTAGAGGAGCTTCGCCCGCTATTATCTACTAATTTCTATATAAATTATGCCCTAAGGAATAAATAAATCAAATATTAGCTAAGTAAACTTAAAACTACTTAAAACATTAAATAAAAAAAATAAACTATACTTATTTTTAAATACTCGAATGTACAATATTTCACCCATTAAGAAACTGGTTCCATAACGTTTCAGCTTTGTAAATTAATAACTAAAATTATAACAAGGAATAATATTAGCAATGCGCCATAGAAACAAAAATCAAGACTGGAACAGGAAGGAAGAGTTGAAATCGGCCATCTTGATGTATCATCGAAAAAAAAAATAAACTTGATCAAGACTTGAAAACAGCGTGCTTATATTTAAAAACGATAAAATTTTATTTGACAACAAAATTAAAAGAACAACCATCTTCGTAACCAATCCCATCTATTATTATCACTATTATTTTCACTATTATTATCACTATTATTATCACTATTAAGATTATTACTTCTTATTTCTTCCACACTTTTTTCCAAATTCTCCATCCGAGCTCGTAACCTATTCCGTTCTACCACTAATCTACTATGCTCTTCCTCTCTCATCCAATTCCTCTGTACCATCTCCACAACTTGTTCCCGCCGCTCTTCTAATTGTTCTTCCAACTCTTGTACTCGTTTTCTTAATTGTTCAATTTTTTGTGCCAACCTATTATAATACAAAATTTTCTTTAACTTGATTCTTTTTAAATTATTGATTTATAATAAATTAAGCTCACCGTCGATTTTTATTTTGAACCACATCCAAAGCACGGAACAAAGCAAAAGAACTTTTAGCTCGTTGACGGCGGTTTACACGGATCTTAGGCGTGTTCTTTGATTGGCGAGGCATTGTTTTTAAAAAATTTTTTTATTGATCTGCAGGGATAAATTTAATTAAATAGGAGTGAAACAATGATTTACTAAATTAGAAATGATCTGCAATAAATTTGTTATTCTTAAGGGGTTGCATGTGATATATTGATAATTATCGGATTTGTAGCGTGTTGGCTAGGGCGTGCGGCTGTTACTAATGGTCGTGGGTTCGAACCTCACTAGGGGTGAGCTGATTCTGCCTCGAGGAGTGTGAAGGCCCTCCCTCGGGAGGTGAGCTGATTCTGCCTCATGAGGAATGTGAAGGCCCTCTAACAAATCCGCCCTTTGTTTTATTGCTCTGAGATTATTTTTTAAAGAAATACAGTAGGATTTTTTTATTTATCTTTTTTTCTTTTTTTGAAAATTTATCGTTATAGCGATCGCTGGTTACACAAATTGATGTACCGGTATATATAGATATATTTCGTTTGTTTATTTACTTTTATAATAATAATAATAATAAGAGTTGTTATTATTATTTTTATTACTAGCACTAATGATTTTTTTGCAAAGCGTTATTTATTTTATTAAAGGTATGATTTACTCTTTTATTTTGAATTTTTCATGAAAGTAACTCTTTTACCTTTTTTAAGTCGGTTTCATTAAACTTAGTTGTTTCTATTGGAGCGTTGATTGTAGAGTTGCCATTTATTAGTAGTTGTGTTTTTTCTTGTTTTTCCTGAAAAATGTAAAGTTTTTATTAGGACTAACTTTACTCTTTATTTTTTTTTTTGTAAGTTTCGGTTAGTCAACTTGAAATCGGGTACCTGAATCTGGAATAGAATGCGTGTTCGTTTTTCGTTTACTACTACTATATACTATTCTTTTCAAATTTCCTCTACATCATTTCATGGTGGGTTTTCCGAATGCTTCGAGACATTCTCTATAACGGTTTTATACGATGTTTCATATTGAATTTTTTTTACAAAGTTATGTAGTGTAATTAGTAGAACATTTATTAATTGACATTATCATAATAGGAATGATGTTGAAAAGATGAACGTAAGGCATTCACTAATGATCACAAATCTGCGAAGATGGAATAAAACATTTAATGTTGGATATTGTTATCATTATAATGGGATCGTTAAAAAGGGTGAATTCAAATTTGCAGAAATGATAGCACTCTAGTGGAGTGTTTAATGTCGGATCTTATTATCATAATGGATTGTGTTGAAACGATGAACTTTAGACATTCACATATTAAAATTTACAGAGATGGGGCACGCAATAGAACATTTCATATTGGATATTATCGTTAAATGGAATCAGAATGAAAAAGGATGAAGTAAGGCATTCACTTATCATCAAAAATCTGCAGTGATGAGGTGCACTCGTAGAACATTTAATGCTGGATATTGTTATCATTATGGGAATCAGAATGAAAAGGATAAACATAAGGTATTCACTTATAAAAAATCAGCAGAAATGGGCGTCCTAGTGGGACATATAACGCTAGATATTGTTTGATGAAGGAATTAGAGTTGAAGAGGACAATAATAAGGTATTTATTTCTTATAAAAATCTACAAAGATAAGTTGCGATATATGTTTTGTTTGACAATAATTTCTATTATACTATTATGGAATTCTTTTAAGATTTGGATTATGTTTTGTTATGGAATTTCCCGAAGACGTTAATCCATTAGAATAGAGGTTATTTATTATTTTAGAGAATAGGGTAAGCTATGAAATTTAATGGTAGTTGTGTGAATACATTTTAGAAATTTACATAATGCACTACTTTGTGTATGACGATTAGTTACCCCACTCTAAATTTTGCCGAGTGCCTTTTACCATATGTGGTCATGCAGTGTAATAAACTCACCATATGTGATCATGCAGTGTAAA